ATGGTCATGACAAGCAAATCACTGTTTCCTTGCTTTAGAGCCAAAATGTACTGTCCAATACAGGACCTGCCACATGACATTATACTACAAATTTTATATGCACAGATAGATACGAGCTAGCCCACCAAAATTACGGAAGAAAATTTGGAGGGACACTATTATATACAGTACAAGGGGGTGTGGAACTTTTTAACCAAAAGCGGCGAAACGTGCAGGCACGGGCTTTTGCACGAAACAACTGGTATGGAAAAAACGGTTCAAGTATGCCCCGTAAATAAGAGTCTTGTTGGTGCGCTCGGAGGCGCCGTCGGTTTGGGCGTGGAACGAGGAGGACATGAGAAGCTTGATGCCGGTGAGTTTGTGGAACGCGCGCCAGAGTTGATTGTCGAAGCGGGCGTCGCGGTCGGAAACGATCTCGAGCGGAAGACCGTTTTCGCAGTACCAGTGGCGGAAGAAGAGGTGGGCAGCGCCCTCGGCGGTGAGCGTCTTGTGGCAGGGCACAGCGCGTATGTCGCAGCCGGAGCGGTCGGTCATGGTCATGAGGTAGTTGTAGGCCTCAGGGCCGGATGCGGGAAGCGGGCCGATGAAATTGATGGCGACGGAGTCGCCACGAGCGCCGGGCACGGGGAGTGAATGGAGCGGGCCAACAGGCTTGGTGGTGGAAGCGTTGTTGCGCTGGCAGGCGTCGCAGGAGGGGAGGTAGGAGTTCGCGAGGTCGGCGCGCATGCCGGGCCAGAAGTAGCTGGTGCGCAGCACTTCGTAGGATTTGTCGAGGCCGAAATGGCCAAGCGCGTCGTGGGCGAGCTCGAAAACATCTTGGCGGAGGGTGTCGATGCGCGGGATCACCAGACGGGCACCAATGTAGAGGAGACGGCCGTGCTCGGTGGTGGCCGTGCGAGCCGTGGGGACACTGGAGAGGTTGTCGAGGACCTTGGACGCCCAGGCATCCTTGGCGTAGCCGGAGGCAATGCGGCGGGTAAAGGCGGGGTCGGTTTGGACAGTGAGGGTAGCGGCGATGTCGGTGGCGCAGTCGGGAGGTTCGTCGTTGAAAAGAGCGAGCGCGACCGAAGCGACGAAAGGAGCGGGCGCGTCGACGGACTGGTCGGCAGGCAGGCGGGACAAGGCGTCGGCGACAGTGTTGGAGTCACCAGGGATGTATATGAGTGTATAGTCGTAGTCGGCAAGGTCGCGGGACCAGCGCAGCTGGCGGCGCGACAGGTGAGGCTGAGATTTGAAGTTTTTGAGAGTGCGGTGGTCGGTGCGAATCTCGAAGTGGTGGCCGACGAGTTCGTGGCGCCACTTCTTGAGGGCATACATGATGGCAAGGAGCTCCTTCTCATGGACGGCGTAGTTGAGTTCCGCGCCCTTGAACTGGACAGAGTCGAAGGCGACGGGGCGGGCGGTCTCCCAAGTAGGGCCGTACGAGAGCACAGCGCCGCAGCGCCAGTCGGAAGCGTCGGTGGTGAGGAAGATCTTGTTGTCGCCCATGTCGCGGTGGTTGATGGACGTGAGGCAGTCGCGGCTGGTGACAAGTTCCTTGATAGCGTCGAAGGCGCGTTGGTGGTGAGCATGCCACCCGGGCCAGGTGCGGTCGGCAGCTTTGATGGTAAGCGGAGTGAGGATACGGGTGTACTCGGCGAGGTTGGGGAGGAAGGCGGCGAGGTAGCGGACAAGGCCGAGGAAGGAGCGAACGTCCTTCGCACTGCGGGGGACGGGCCAGTCGAGGATGCGGTCGCACTTGGAGGAGTCGGCTTCGATGCCGGCCTCAGAGATGCAGTGACCGAGGAAGGTGACGGATTCGGCGAAGAGGATAGACTTCTTCAGCGAGCAGTAGAGGCCGTTGTTCGCGAGCGCGGCGAGAACCCGGGCAACGTTCTCCTGGTGTTCCACGAGGGAGTTGGACCAGATGATGATGTCGTCAAGGTACACATGGCAGATTTCGCCGATAAGAGGACCGAGAGCTTCGGTGAGGCGGCGTTGCTGGACGGCGGGCGCGTTGCGACCGCCCATGGGCATGACGTCCCATTCCCAGACGCGGCCACAGGCTTCAAAGGCCGTGTACTGGGCGGAGTCGGGGTGCATGCGAGTCTGGTGAAAGGCGGCGGTCATGTCGAGCTTGCCCCAGATGGAGCCAAGCGCGCAGTCGCTGAGGATGTCGTCGACGAGCGGCATAGGGAAGTGATCCGGGACGGTGTTCTCGTTGAGTTGGCGATAGTCAATGACGAGGCGTTTGGAACCGTCGGGCTTGTCGACGAGGAAACTGGGCGAGACGAAACGAGACTGAGACGGGCGAATACGGCCGGCGGCGAGATTGTCGGCCAGAAGAGCCTGGAAGGCAGACGCGTATTGTTTAGGCGTACGATAGGCACGGCGGGCAATGGTAGCGTTGGCGTCCTTGAGCTCAATCTTGTGCAGGACGGAGGTAGGCAGGTGAGAGGCGTGAGGAACGGAGGCGAAGACGCTCGCGTACTGCTCCTTATAACGAGCATCGAGAGCGGCGAGGTGGTCAACGTAGGCAATGGTGTTGATCCGGGCGTCGATCTCCGGAATGAAGTCAGCGAGAGAGAAGACGGGCGGCGGACCGGCGGGCGCGTCATGGCCGTGGAGGAACTGTGAGAGCAGGTCGGCCGAGGCAATGTCCAAAGCCAGGAAGTCCGCGTCGCGGGCGGCGCGCTCAGCAGCGTGGGACCGAAGGGCGGCGAGAGGGTCGACAGGCGCGGCCGAAAGATCGACGGGAGCCGGGCGAGGTGGAAGACGAGGAACAGAAGGGTTGAGCAAGTCGTAGCCGGTGTCCTTGTCGTAAACAGCGCGCTCAGAGGCATCGCAGACAAGGCGGTTGACGGCGAGGAAGGCTTGCCCAAGGATGACCGGCGAGCAGAGCGACTCAGGACCGATCACGCAGCGAACACGGCGGGCGG